CCACCAAAGTACCGTGTCCTCCACTCCCTCCCCATGCGGGGGCTGGTCTTGCAGGGCTGCAGGGACAAGGGGCAGCGACAGGAGGGCGAGAGTGCTGCCCATCCCATTCTCAGTGACAGCTTAAACTCTAAACACAGAATAGCCTAATAAGGAAAAATGGCTTTCTAAACGTGTCTTTATTGAGGACAGTGTTAATCCACAGGGAACAGTTATCTCACACAGTTTTCCATAAGCCAAGTGGCACCTTCTTGGAGAAGCACTGGCCTTTCTTGTCCCTTGGCAAACCCCAGGGTCTGAAGCTCCTTTCTTTGCCTCTTTTTTTTTAAAGACAGGGTCTTGCTGAGTAGCCCAGGCTGGCTGTGAACTCAGCGATCCTCTTGTCTCAGCCTCCTGAGTTCTGGGATTACAGGTGTGTACCACCAAGCCCGGCCGAAGCTCTTTTCTGACCTGGGACAGAGAACCTCACTGTGTTGGGAGCCGGAAGCTGGGCGGTGAAAGGAGGAAGCCATGTGGAAGTAGAAAATAGTGGTCAGGCGGCCTTCAGAGGAAGTGGGCGTCTGTCCCGTTAGATTTGTTGTGGGCAGTTGTGGCAAACCTATGGCACGCGAGCCACAGCAGGCTGTTTGTGTCATTGAAACTCACAAAAGGTTCGCCATCATTGGTCGTGGGTACCTTTTGGTATTGTGTGATGCCTAAGTCTTGTCATGTAAAAGCCCCTTGGGGGGGATTTTCTTTTAGATCAGGGAATTTTTTTTTTTTGCTGTTGTCTAGAAAAGTTTTCCTTTCCCTTAGGATCTTGTATTCTTTTTTTTTTTTAAATAAATGACATTGGGCCAAGTAGTTGATTCCGTTTCTCTTCTTAAGTGGGCCAAGCTTGCACTTTACCTTTAGTAACATTTTTGGGGGGAAGTACTGGGGATTTAACCAGGGCTTTGGAACTGAGCTGTGTCCCCAGCCTGTGCTGGTTGTTTTGAGACAGGATTGCCCTAATGTAGCTCAGGCTGGGCTTGAACTCACAGTGAAGCCCGGCTGGCCTCGAGCTTGCCATCCCTGGTCTTCTTGCCTCAGCTTCCCAAGGACTGAGATTGCAGGCATGCACCACCACGCCCCGCTTCTTTCTCTTTTATTTTGCGACAAGGTCTGTTAAACCGCTACGTTGCCCCGGCTGTGCTCGAATTTGTGATCCCCCTGTTCCCACCTCCCAGGGCGCTCTTTTTATAGGCATACACTTTAGTAACCTTTTATTCCTCTGTGGCCTGCACATTCATACACCAATTTTCCTTTTTCTTCTTGTACTTGCATGAATATTTTGGCTTTTATTCATTATGAAAACAATCCAGAGTCCCTGATAAAAACCAGGAAAGTACAAAGAGTTTAGAGAAGGAAAGAAAAAAAAACCAACAATGGTTTGGTATCTTTGTTCCATTTTCAATATGAAAACTATAAATAGCACAGGTTTATGGAATGCATATAGAGTAGGTAGGTTAAATATATACTTATGTGTGTGTATATGTTAATTCCCAGTGGGTGTTACGCTTTTAAAACAGCAGGGACCTTTTCCTTAAATTAGACGCAAGAGGAAGGTGAAGACAGGAAAGAGGTGGGAGTGGTGAGGAAGCAGGGATTAATGGAGCTAAGCGGTGGCTCCTGGCAAGCCCCAGGTTATGGGAGCGACAGGAGAGCGGAAGTGAGTCAGTGAGGCAGAGCCGGAGCGAGGAGAGGCGGAATGGAAGTGTGAATGGCATCCTTTGAGTGTGGAGAGGGGAGCGGGGAGCTGCAGCCTGAGGCTCAAAAGGACTTGAACAAATAGAATTTCGCTTTCAAATCAGATCATCAACGGTGCACTGGTGCCTCTTGTAAGCAGTACAGCGTCCCTTGCTTTCTGCACGCAGCCTGGGAGCCACTTCGGGGCACAGAGGCCCGGCCTTACCAGCCCGACTGCTCTGCAGAGGCTGGAGATTTCAGTGGCTTTCTTCTGTGAGCTCTTGCAGAGCACGGAGAGCTGCTCCCTGGGAAAGGCTCCTCTCACTCTGAGTGTTTGGGAACTGCAGTGAGTGACACTTTAATTAACAAACCTGCTGGGAACAAAAGTCCTTTAAGAGGGCTGGCCACTGTGGAGTTGGAGTGTGGGCTGCAGAGGCTCCCATGGCGCAGTGGGAGTTCTGGGACCTCAAGCTGTGGGGTGACTTTTTCGTGGTTGGGTTAGACTTACCAGGATGAGGACCGAGCGCCCTCTTAGAGGGCAGACTCGCATGGTGTCTCAGGGAGCAGAGACTGGCAGGTGTGGTGGCGTTCCTTGGGCAAGCTGGGCTCATCCAGCACTTCCGGTGTGGGCTTTTTCGACTTTCCTGTTCCCGCCATGTTTGGGAGCCACAGCCTGCTTTTTCTTGATGAGAGGACAGAGGGGAGCCAGCGTTTGGGAATGCGTCATTCTAGCTCCTGCGTGATTCCTCTCTCTAGCAGTGGAATTTCTGTCTCGCCGCCCCCCACCTTCCGTTCTTCTTGGCAGTACTGGGGATTGAACCCTGGGCCTTTACACGGAGTTACACCCCCAGCTTTTTCTTTATACTTTTTATTTTGAGACAGGGTCTTGCTAGGTTGTCTGGGCTGGGCTCAAAACTTGCAATCCTCCTGCCTCTGCCTCCCAGATCAGGGCTGGGATCACAAGTGTGTGTCACCTCATTGGGCTTGGTAGCTGCATTCTGATGACAACCGAGTCTTTTATGTATCTTGGGCCAAGTAGTTGATTCCATTTCTCTTCTTAAGTGGGCCACGGGCCTATTAAGGGCCTTCCTCTGAAGGCCGCCTGACCACTATTTTCTACTTCCACATGGCTTCCTCCTCTCACCGCCCAGCTTCCGGCTCCCAACACAGTGAGGTTCTCTGTCCCACAACTGCCCAGGTCAGAAAAGAGCTTCGGCCGGGCTTGGTGGTACACACCTGTAATCCCAGAACTCAGGAGGCTGAGACAAGAGGATCGCGGGGCTGGGATCACAAGTATATGTCAGTCACCTCATTGGGCTTGGTAGCTGAAGTCTGATGACAGCCGAATCCTTATCTATCTTTTGAGAAGTAGTGTATATTGCTGCATCTTACTATATGGAGTATATTTGGGCACTGGTGTCAGAGAGTCTGAGGAGATTCGTGGAGTGGAGAGGGATACCCCCTTGTGCTGCCAGAGTAGAAAGTGATTAAGTAGGATTTGCCTGCCTTGAAAATCGTTGTTAGTAAGGATAGGCGCTGAAGGAATAATTGGTTTCTTAGCTCTAAATACTGTGCTGAAGGGAGTTTACTCAACTCTGACACCTTCATCAATTAGTTTCTCCCTCCAGAAGCCTGTGACAGATGCCCTGAGGCTGAGTTCACTGAGCCCAAAACTAGACTGAGGATTTCATGAAAGTTTTCAACAGAGTTACTGTGGCTAAACTGAAGACGGGACTGAGACCTTGTCATTTTCATTTTTGTAATGCTTAGGGAAATGGATCTTTAATTCAGTCTTTATCTATCTGTATTCTTTGTATGTGTTTTTTTTTTTTTTTTTTTTTTTTTTGAGGTAGGGTCTTGCTATGCAATTCAGGCTGGTTTTGAACTCACTTCATAGCCCAGGCTGGCCTCGAACTCACAGCAGTCCTCCTGCCCCAGCCTCCCAAGTACTAGGATTAGACATGCACCACTACACCTGGCATCATATTCCTTTTCTTATGTGTCTAAGAAAGGGCCAACAGTGTGTTGGATTTAATAGGGAAAAGGCAAACCTAGTCATAAGGTCAGAACAAAGGGTTAGGGTTCAGTTTCTTCTGTCAAACTTTGACTTTGATGGATATAAAACAGTCTGTGTCCCAGCACTCTGGGAAGGCTGAGGCAAGAGAATCACAAGTTCAAGCCCAATTTGGGCAACTTAGTGTTTTATCCAGACCCTGTCTCAAAAAAATGAATGAGTGAATGAACGAACTAACGAAAGAATGAATGAACAAGTAAGTAAAGAAACAATAAATAGGGCTGGGGATGTAGCTCACTGTGAAGACCCTAAGTCCAGTCTCCCACATGTCAAAAGGAAAAGTTTCTAAAGCAAAATAGGGGTGCTAGATGGATCTGTTTATCTTTTTAAAAGACTTACTTACAGGGCTGGGAGAGAGGATAGCTCAGCCGTAGATGATTTTCCTAGCATGTGTGAGGCCCTGCCTCGCATCTCCAGCACTGAAAAAGATACCTACACCTGTCCCTGTCCCTGTCCCTGTCCCTGTACCTATCCCTCCTCTCCGTCATCATCTCCATCATCTCCGTCTCCGTCTCCGTCTCCGTCTCTGTCTCATCTGATGTGGTTCGGGAGGCAGTAGTCTGTATTGAAAACCTTGGGCCACAGCTCACGTTGGAGTCATGATAACAAACGTAGGAGGTTGTATCTGATCAGGAATCGAATCATGATTTCCCCCTGCAGAGCTCGGGCCTTGGTGCAGTATCTGTTTCTCCACATTCTGCACTCGCTTCCCCACTGGCTCGCCTCCTGCGGTGCTGTCCTGTAGTGCGAGCTCCCTTCCGATCTTCGCGGATTGTAGCTGCGGGAAGGGTTGGGCCGTGGCCTCGGTCGGCCTCCTTGTGAGAGCTCTGCACTGCCGTGTTAGGAGGCCCAGGGCAGGGGAGAGCGTAGCTGTGTCAGTTCCCCCATGGGCGAGGGAGCGCGGGCTCTGCTGGGAGAGCAGCTGCCCCGGGCGTGGGTGAGTGGGTGTGGGCAGGCACCTGAGCAGCCGGTGCGCTCAGGCTTCCTGGGCTGAGTCATGGGCTGGTGTTCTGAGCGCTCTGCACACTCCCCACTGGGACGCCGCTGGGTCAGAGGGCTCACTAGGCAAGGGTGTTCTCAGGTGGAACCCAGCGCCGGTTTCCAGCCGCTTGTAAGCAGATCCAAGGGGAAAAAGCAGTGCCATCTAAGGCTGTGCTTTGATTGGTGATGACGGTGGTCATGCTGACAATTAAAAAATAATGAATTGTTTTCCTTCTTTTAGTCACATAGAAAAAATCACCACATGGCAAGACCCTAGGAAGGCGATGAATCAGCCCCTGAATCATCTGAGCCTCCACCCTGCCGTCACTTCCACACCAGTGCCTCAGAGGACCATGGCCGTGTCCCAGCCAAACCTGGGTAAGCCCCGAGCTTCGGCGCCCGGCGGAAGGGACCAGTGTCCAGTGAGGGCTGTGGGGCTCAAGGGCAGCTCTGGTGTCTCCTTCCCTCTCGGTGGACCCAGCCAGTATCTTCGCTACATTACCCGCCACCCTTCCTTCTGGTCCGGGCCCCTGGTTCCCGACATGATACCGTGATACAGGATGCCCTCGGTTCACTCTGCAGTCCGGGCATCCTCTCCAGTGGCCTTTATCAAGTGTTTTGAAAACCACCCAGGCTTCCTGTCTTCATCTGTACTAATGCACACAGGGCCCGTACCCCTCTGAGTCTGGTTTCAGAGGACAGTGTATGTCTAGCAGCAGGTGAGGTTACTTTTGTGCTCTCCCTCATTGACCCCTCACGACCACCTCTCAGCAGTAACAAAATCCCCATGGTGTGGACAAGGAGACCTTCCCAAAGCCCTGCAGCTAGAGCTGGAGTTTGGACCCTGGTTCCTTTGATTTTTGAATGCAGTTAAAACGGACATGGTGGAGCATATTTGTAATTCCAGTCCTCTGGGTGGCTGAGGCAGGAGGACTGCAAGTTTGAGCCCAACCTGGGCAACTTAGCAACCCTATTTCAAAATGAGAATCGAACCCGGAAGGGTTATTTGACCTGGCCTCACGGAGAAACAGTAATGGATTATAACTAAGGCTGTAATAACAAATGGTAAAATAAAGTGGAAAGTGAAAAATTGTGTTCGGGTTGTTTAACCTACTGAGAATCCACCTCAGATTCACTGTGTCGTTAACTTTTGCATAAACTGAAAGTGGTTTCTCCCCTTACCCTCCCCGGGTAAAATGGCTCACTTTTCACCCAGTTCTAGTGGTCACCTGTGATTTCTAGGCTGGGAAAAGAATGTTTTCTGCTTACTACTTTTACTTCAAAAGCACTAAGGTTATGTCCCCTAGAGATAAGCACAGTGAAGGAATTCTCCGCAGCCTCCAAAGTAGCTGTTTTTTGTTAGGCATTTTCTCCCTTCCCCCCGGAGGGATAAAAATAAAACAGGGCCAGTGTTCGCTCCTGGTTTCAGGCCGGGCGTGGTGGTGCATGCCTACAGGCCCGCACTTGGGAGCATGAAGCCGCAGCATTGCTGTGAGTTCGAGGCCAGCCTACAGAGTGAGTTCAAGACCGTGCTGGACTAGCAAGACCCTGTCTCAGGAAACTGGGGACAGGGGGGAGATGCTGCTGTTTGCAGATAACTTTGCATTGAAGATTAGATTCCCAGAGACTGCGTTCCTCACAGAACAGTTAATTTTAGGGAGCGAAAGGAGTCTCCTGCTGGATTTCCAGGAGTGAATGGGAGGAAAAGGAGGCGTCATTCCCGGCCGCCCTGGCCTCTCACTGTGCTTCGCCAGCGTGCTTCTGACTCGAGTGGACCCGAGCTCCTCAGAGTGCACCTTCTGTTCAAGGCCTGAGGTGCACATTACACCCGGAGACGCCGGTGTGGGCCGGTCCTGTTGTATTCCTTCTCCGAAGGGCAGATTAAAGACAATGGTGCTGGTCCTTCTCCCACCGGGGATGGCCAAAGCTGCCCGTTCATCACTGTCCTGGATGGATACGAGCCCTCACCCAGGAGGCAGGTGCCGCTGCAGTGAAGAAGCCTCAGGTTAGGTGGTGGTAGACTAGCCATGAGTTCTTTTTTTTTTTTTTTTAATTTTTTTTTTTAGCCATGATTTCTTTCAGTCTTTAATTTTCATTAAAATTCTAAAGACTTGTTATTACCATTTTGACCTTAACCTTTGTTTTGGATGCTGACGATTGAGCTCAGGGCCTCACACACGATACCTGTGCAGTACAGCTACGTGGCTGCATCCCTGGACCCTAACTTTAGCGTCAGTGGAGTTGGGAAAAATCTCTCTTGGGCGTGGTGAAAAAGAACCCGACACTTCCAGAAAGTATTAGTGTTTCCGGTTCTTTGGCATGCGTTCCCACACAAATGCTAGTGTGCAATGCCCCGTTTTGCACCTTGCTTTTCTCACTTTTATATCTGTATACATGGAGCTGCCACATTCTTTTTAGAAAATGCCTAATAGTCCAATATACCATAATGAGTTTATTTAGCTACCTCTGCCCGATGGATATTTATGTTTCCAGTATGTTGCCAGTACACAAAATATGGGCTCAGTATGCTTAGTCATGCTTTTTTATGCGAGGTCTCTAATTTAAAAAAAAAATTGTTTAAGTGAGCCGACACCTGTAATCTCAGCACTTGGGAGGCTGAGGCAGGAGGATCACAGTAAGTTCAAGGTCAGCCTGTGCTACACAAGAGTTCAAGGCCAGCTGCTCCCCCCACAAAAAAAAAAAAAACAAAAAAAAAACTGTAACAAGTGAGAAGAAGACTAGTGAAATTAAGGTTATGGAATGCTTAAGTTTATATCAAAGGCAGATGTGGTTGGCTTGCATGTGCACTTGCGCTAGAGGTCCAGTTGTCCAAAAAAAGTTGTAACGTAAACATTCTGAAACATCTTTACGTGTGGCTAAGTAAAATACCATACTTTCAGAATTCTAGTCAAAGCAGTGCATTTAAAAATTTTTTATTTTATTGGTGTATCTTAGATATGCATAATGATATACATAATGGTATTAGATATACGTAATGGCATTTTTCGTAGCGAATTTGTACCTGTACATGACATAGCTTGATTCTTTTTCTCCCATTCCTCTCTCCTCCCTTCAGCTCTTCTCCCTTCTTATTTACAAAAGCTATTTCCATTTTTTCCTTCTGTTTTCTTTTTCTTCACGTTTTCCTTTCCCTTCTCCTAGCCCTTGTTCCCCTTTTTATTTTCTTCCCTTTTCCCAATATGTATTATAAATTTTGGTCCTCATTTACACTTTCAGTTTCTTACACCAGAGATACAATGTGGTATTTGAATATGTGAGTCTGATTTATTTCACTTAAGAGTATGGTCTCAAGGTGCATCTGTTTACCTAGAAATGCCTCAAGCTTATCCTTCTTTATGGCAGAGTAGTACTCCATTGTAGGGGAAAAAAACCTCACATCTTTTTTACTTATTTATTTTTTTGGTTTGGTTTTTTTTCCAGTATCAGGAATCGAACTCACCACCCCGTGCTTGCCAGGCAGGTGCTGTGCCACTGAGCTAAATCCCCAGCCCCTAAGCCACATCTTTTTTATACGTTTACCAGTTTATGGGCATTTGGATTGTTTCTACAACTTAACTATCACAAACTGTGCTGCTGTAAACATAGGTGTGCACATATTGCTGTGGTACAGTGCTTTTAATTCTTCTGGGAAGATGCCCAGAACGGGAATAGCTGGGTCAAATGGAAGCTGTAGTCATAGTTGTTTGAAGAATTTCCATGCTGATTTCCAAAGTGGTTGCACCAGTCTACACTCCCACCAACAGTAGAGAAGGGTTCCTTTTTCCCCACAGCCCTCCAGCATTTGCTATTGACTTCTTGATAATAGCCTTTCTGTCTGGTGTGAGATGGAATCTCAGTGTTGTTTTAATTTGCATCTCTTGAATGACCATTGACGCTGAACATTTTTTTCATACATTTATTTGCTGTTTCTATTTCTTCATCTGAGAAATGTGTATTCATCTCAGATGCCCATTTTTGGGTTGGGTCTTTAAATTTGGGGTATCTGATTTTTTTTGAGTTCTTTATATATTCTATATATTAGTCCTTTTTCTGAGGAACAGCTGGCAAAAATTTTCCCCACACTGTGGGTTGTATCTTCACTCTGTTGGTTTCTCTTGCTGTGCAAAAACTTTTTAAAAAGATGATATCCCAGCTGTTGATTCTTTATGATACTTCTGTGTGATACGGGTTTTGTTTATAAAGTCTTTGCCTACACTGATATCTTTAAGAGTTCTACGTATTCTCTCTTCTAGCAGATTCAGTGTTTCTGTTTTAATATTTAGATTTTTGATCCATTTTGATTTTAGCTTAGTGCATATTGAAAGATATGGGTCTAGTTTTAATTTTTGCATGTGGAAAGCTAGTTTTTCCAGCACCGTTTATTAAAGAGGCTATCTTTCTTCCAGTGAATGTGCTTGGCTCGTTTGTCAAAGATAAAATGGCTGAATGTGTTTGGAGTAATTTCTGCATCTTCTAATCTGTTCCGTGGATCTTTGGGTCTGTTTTTTTGCCAGTACCATGCTGGTAAAAATCACAGTAGCTTTGTAGTATAATTTCAAGTCAGGGATTGTGATGCCGTCTGCCTTGTATTTGTTGCCCAGGCTTGCTTTTGCTATTGTAGGTCTCTCATGGTTTCAAATAAATTTTAGGATTGTCTTTCCTTCTTCTGTGAGATATGTTATTGGTATTTTGATGGGGATTGTATTAAATCTGTGTAACAGTTTTGGGAGTGTGGCCATTTTCACTATATTGGTTCTTCTTACCCAAGAACAAGGGATATCTTTCCATTTTCTGATACTCTGTTTGATCTCCTTTTTCAGAATACTGTAGTTTTCAGTGTGAAGATCTTTTACTTTCTTTGTTAGATTGATTTTTAGGTTTTTTTTTTTTGATGCTATTGTGAAAGGTGTTGTCTCCCTAATTTTTCTCTCAGTGTGTTTTTTATTCGTGTTCAGCAATGCTATTGATTTTTGTTTTTTCTTTTTGTCTTTTTGAGACAAGGTTTCACTATGCAGTTCAGACTGGTCTTGAACTTGTGGTGATCTTCCTGCCTCAGCCTGCCAAGTGCTGGGTTTATAGGCCTGCTCCACCATGCCCAGCTTGCTACTGATTTTTGAGTGTTGACTTTGTAACCTGCTGCACTACAAAATTTGGTTATTAAATCTAGGAGCCTTTTGGTATAGTTTTGGGGGTCTTCTGTGTAGAGTATCACGTCATCTGCAAATAGTGATAATTTAACTTCTTTATTCTCTATCCTTATTCCTTGTGTTTCTTTCTCTTGTCTGATTGTTCTGGCTACTGTTTCCAGAACTATATTGAGTAAGAGTGGTGACAGTGGACATCCTTGTGTTGTTCCTGATTTTAGAGTGAAAGCTTTC